TGGGGTTCTGAGCAGCAGACACACACACACACACATACGGACAAACTGACACACAGATACACAGACACAGACAGACACTGACACACAAAGATGCACACAGACAGATACACATACAGACACACATACAGTCAGACACAGACACATGAACACAGATATACACACAGAGACCACACATACACACAGATACACAGATGCAGACAGACACTGACGCACAGAGGTGCACACAGACAGACACACAGACAGACACAGACAGACACACACATTCTCTCTTCTGTCCAGGCATATAGAGTGGGTTGACCAGAAGCAAACCAGGGCAGATGTGCAGGCATGCTTTTGTTCTCTTGTGCTTTGCGTTGTTGGGTGTGCAGGACGTTGTGGATACCCCGATACTGCCTCGGTTCCTCTTGGTAACTGGTGGATCTGTATAAATCCTCAACTAGGACCTTACCCTGGTGGGTCTCTGGCAGGAGAACTGGGGCAGATCTCCTTATCCCGCATGAGGTCTTCAATGAGTGATCACGAGTGTTTACCGACGAACACTCAAGAAATCCAATCTGTATTCCTCTAAGCAGGAGTGAGGCTTTATTAATTGATTTTGCAGAATTGGGTGCCAAGCCCAGAAGACAAGACTGGTAGGTAGCCTGCGTGGCTGTTTTAGAAATATTTTATTCCCTAGCATGAAAGCACTTCCCCGGCTCCTCTTTGGCTGAGTACTGTGGGATGAACAATCTTCCTGGATGTAGCTTATTCCCTTTTGCACTCTTATTTGAAAGTTTCTACTTCTCGAACAGTCCCCCTCCCCTCCCCTAATCCATCCTGTTCACACGCTCCCCCACCCCCCATGCATGGGCTCCTGTTGGTAGATCAGCCAACAATCTGTGCCTCAGCCCACCAGCAACTCCCTGGGCCTTTGTTCCCTTATTCCTGAAGAGGGAGCCATTTGGGGTTTATTTCTCACAGGTGTGTGACAACGTAAAGGTCTGTGGTAAACCCCAGCTGAGCAAGTCCGTGGGTGCCATTTATCAACGGTGTGTGCTCGCTTCACACCCTTGTGTTCTGTTTTCACACCCTGTGTCTCATTTTGGTCTTTTTCGTATGTTTGTTTTTTCATTGTTTCACACATTTTCATCATGCAGTTGTACCCTGACTAGATGGCAGTCTTATGCCCACACCTCTTCTGTACTGCTGGTGGATTTGAACCACTGACCTTGTGGTTGCAGCCCAGTGCTTATCCTGTAGCGCCACACTAGGATTCCATTCCTCCATGCCACAGGCATGAGGTAAGCATTAGTTGGCAATGTCAATGAACCACTGTGTCCCCACAGCTTTGTTGGTGGTCATCAGGTGCTGTTGAGTTGAACCCCATTCGCAGTGACCTTGTGTAGCGTACAAAGAAATGTTGCCTGATCTACTCATAACACGTAACCCCAGAGCTTCTGGAAGCATGTGTCCTGAAAAGGTCTGATGTGTAGACGAAGTTGTATCAGCATGACATTTTGGGTCTTAGTGGACCCATCCAGCACAGTGACTTGTCCCCTGGCTTCTCACACATTCTCCTGAGCCCTAAGGTCCACAGACCCTGCAGCATAGGGAAGAATGCACTGCTTGCCAGTGGCGCTCAGAGGTGGAGAAGATGCTGAGAGCTGGATGAAGAGAGAGAATGGGTCTGAAAAAGGTGCAGCTTTAACAGATGATCGGTGTTACGGACCCAGAGACCTGTCAGGGCTTGAAAAGGGTGGAGCCATGTGTTGGGTATGTTTCAAAACCATGCCCCCTCCAGAAGAGCACAGCCATGACAAAGTACTCTGTATCACAGGTGTGCTGAGCTGTGGTCTTCAGCTGCAGCTTTGGTTACCCCCAATTACACAACCAGCCCACCTGGTCACTCCTGGAGCCATGCAGGTCCTCGGAGAACAGAAATTGCTCATTCTTCGAACATCAGCCATACAGAGATCCTTTCATTCTAAAGTTATACCTCTAAAGGAAATGCTTGTTTCATGTCCTCTGGTACAACGTTAAGAGTTTATAGCTTGCAGTCCTATGCTATAGGCCTGGAGTTGGAAGGAAACCCCTCAGGCACAGGGAAAGTTTCCTCCAGGTGACTTGAGGCACATATGACACACAGCATGTGAACGGTACCACCTTCAGTGCCCGGAGCAGCTGGCCACAACCCAGGGGTCAGTAGGGTCTCACCTCCTTTGCATATGAAGTTGCATCATCTTTTAAATGACAAATCAAAAAAAAAATAATCTGTCTTTCCTGATAGATGAGTAGAAATGGATTCTTGGGTGAGTTGTCCAGCAATAAAAGCCAGTCACTAGTCAGGGCTGTCCTCGTCCTGCCTGTACCACAAATGGTTGCCCCCGACAGTTTCCTGGAACGGGAAGTGGCCATGAGCTTCAAAGGAAGGCCGCAGCAGCCCTCAGGGTGGACGCTGCAGCTGGTGTGTGGACAGCTGCCCTGCAAGACCCATGACACCACATGTGTCTCAGGTCAACTGTGAGCTCTGAGAAGGGCGTAGGCAGAGTCCTCTGTGTTCCCTCAGACCAGAGAGACGCAGATGCTGTGAGACCATGACTTGAAGAACTACGAATGTAAAAGACACGACGTTCAGTGTGGACTGCACCTTCATGTGACAACGGCATGTAGGACCATGTTTGACTTTTGTATGTCTTATGGTAGCATAGTGGTTATGAATCAGGCTGCAACCTGCAAGTTCAGCAGTTCGAAACTACCAGCTGTTCTGCGGGAGAAAGATGAGGTGTTCTGCTCCTGTAAAGACTTACAGCCTCGGAAACCCTGTAGGAGGTTGCTATGAGTCGGAACCGACTCCATGGCATACAGCCACCACCACCATGGTGTGGTGCTGTGGGATAATGCACTGGACCACAAGGTCAGTTTGAAGTGCATGTCGGAGGTTCAAATTCACTAGCCGCTCTTCAGAAACCCTATACAGGGTCACTATGTATGTGGTTAGTACTACGGAGCCCTGGTGGCACACTGGTTAAAGCCCCCGACTATTATCCTAGAAGTCAGCAGTTCGAACCTGCCAGTTACTCCACGTGGCAGTTTGTTCCCATAAACATTATAGCCGTGGAAACCCTTGGGGACAGGCCTGTTCTGTGTTACTGGGTCTCTGTGAGTCAAAATCAAGTTGATGGCAGAGCTTTGTGGTTGTTTTAAATCATTGTTGTTGTTAAGTGCTTTTCAGTAGACTCCAACTCTGTGACCCTGTGACGCGTTTCCAAAGAGCAGCTGGTGAGTTTGAACCACTGCCCTTGTGTTTCAGACCAACCTTGTGGTCTAGTGTTTATCCTGCAGAGCCAGGGCATTAGTTATGGATTACATAACACACAGCGTGTAATTAGCCGATACCATCATTCTTACATGTTCACTAGACATTCCTATGTCATGCTTCCAACCACTGAGGACAGATTAAGATCGGCTTTATAAGGATACTGCAAAGAACTGGTAACACTGACACTAATCATGAACTTCTGTCAGAATCAACTTACCGCGGACTCGTGGGCAAGGGCAAGGCTCCGTACGTGTGTATAAATGGACATGGGATTCCAGGAGGGGCTGTTATTAGTCAACAGCCTGTCAGTCCACCTCACGGTGCCCTCGTGTGGACAGAGCGCAACGGCTGTGTGATGTCATCAGACTGTGACCTCTTGGATTTAGATGGCCAGCCCTTACTTCTGAAGTGTCTTTGGGTACATTTGAACCACCAGCGAGCGTCTTGGTTGTTAGTCCATTCACGCCACCCGGGACCCCCCATACACGGACTCCATGGTACGTTGTTCATGCATCTTCTGATGAGGAGGGACATTGAGGAGCAAAGGAATCCGGGGACTGGAGGGTCACCCCTGTGACTTTTCTACAGGGTCCCTACGAGTCTGAAGGGATGCAGTGGCAGTGTTATGTGTGGGGCTGTTGGTGGACAAGACTTGTAGCTCCTTGGCCCCCAGATGTCCTGTCTCTGAGACAGGGACTGGGGCCCAGCTATAATCTCCTCCCAGTCTCCTCCATCTGGGGCAGGTGCGGCCCGCACCTGGATGCCTCTTCACCACGCTCCAGTTAGGTCCGGCGCATCTGTGCATTCTAAGTCAGCTGATGGAAGGAAATAATGTTCCCCCTTCTTGCCTGCTTGGGGGCTCTGGTTTCCATCTGGCTTCTCCATGACCTGTCTGCTTGCAGCTGCACCCTGCCAGCAAACTTCCACCTTGGTTTCTGATTTTGTTCCCTTCTGGTGGGTGGCAGCTAGCTCTGCAGAGAAATGAGTGAGTGCGTATTCACTGCTACTGCGGCCATGAATGGGTTCATGCAGTCCTTGAAAATTAGATGTTTAACTTGGACACTACGGATACTGGAGTGTGGTCTTGCGTTTAAATTTCAACTTAACCACTGACCACATGTGTTCCCGTGGGCTACGCACTGAACTTGTCGGCATCGTAGTTTGCATTTTTCCAACTGAGATGATAGCTCTCACATTCCAAGATTATGAACATTCCATAAAAGAAGTTTCAGTAACTAAGTAAGCTCAGAGAACATTTTGTTATTAGGTGTTGTTGGACAGGTTCCTACATAGTGACCCTGAGGGACAGGGTAGAACTGCCCCAAAGGATTGCCCAGATGGTACATCTTCATGAAAACAAACGACCTCATCTTCCTCCCTTGAACCACCAACCTCTGGTTTGCTTATCAGTTATGCCACCAGCGCCCCTGTTTTCTACCCAACCAGGGCCAGGCCCGAAGCACAGGGCACAGCTGGTTGGGAGACCACCAGGGGACCTTGTGTTGGGCTCGATTCTTGGTCAGGGGCTACACTATGTTGCAAGGCCCCATTCCAGATAGAACTCCAACCCGCTTCCAAAGATGGTGCCGGAAAAGCCTTGGGAACCCATCTGAAATGTCCTGCTTGCTACCTGGTGTGGTCCCTGAAGGGGAGGCGAATGCTGCCTTTTGACCGTGTCTCCTTTGTTACTTTTCTTGTGTAGACATTGCCCCCTGGTTACGAGAGTTCCGAGCGGAGGATGCTGTGGACTTCTCCCAGTTAACCTTTGATCCAGGACAGAAAGAACTCATCGTAGGAGCAAGGTGAGCCATCTTCTGTTTTGCTTGGTTTCTCATTTCTGTCTTTCTTCATTAGCGTCACCGCATGGCTGATGGATGCTGGGAGATGTGTCTTCTGTAGTGTTAGTGATGGTCCTGCTGATCCAGAGCCAGCTGCTCCCTAACAGAACCCTCAGAAAGTACAAGCCGTGAACATGTTTGATTGCTCATTAAAAGGTGGGAGGTTGGAGACCACCCAGAGGGGGGCCTTCGAAGACCAGCCTGGTTGTTTGCTTCAGTTGTTCTCTGACACTCCTGGGACCGGAGTGAGTTGGAATCAGTTTGTTGTGCTGTTTGTTAACAAGCATTGTGTGTGCCCGTCCCACAAAGTAAGATTTGTTCTGATGCAAGTGATCCCATCTAGCTGCAGAGGTTGGGACTGTCCCCTCCCTGGCTGTCCAGGTGCTGTCTAGAACATGTACTCATCACAAAGGGGACTGGCGTCCAGACCAGGCAGTCTGACTCCGGAGTCCCCCTTCTTCCCTCCTCACTAGATTGTTGAGCAGAATCCTGGGGTTCAGGAGACACTGACTTGCTTTGATCTGTTGAAACCAATCTCAGTCTTTACAGGGACTGAACCTCCCAATCAGGGTTTTGTTGTGTGTCGGTTCCTTTCGGGGCCTCTCTCCTACTGTCTGCTGGGAATCTTTGACGTTTCTGATTGTGGAAAGATCTTCCTGGGTGCGCATGTGTGTGACTGCCCTGTCTTAGGAGGGATTAGACCCGCATGACCTCTTGGACACAGCAGAGCAGAGTTCCATTCACAAGTGCGGTGGTTACAACTTCAGCGTCATCTTGGAGACGCCGTTCAATCCACAGAACTACGTGTCCATGACTTTGATCAGAACATTTGACAATGCACTGAGAATCCCTGGGGGTCGCCATCCCCACCATGTGGGTTTCCTCGGCAGGTACGAGGCCTGAAGACCCAGGCACAATATAGTTGTGTTGTTCTCCAATACTCATTTTTACTTCCTTAGGAAGGATGTATCCTATCCCCTTCGCAGTGACTGCCACTACTCGTGAGACTGCTTGGGGAGAGAGCACTCTTGTTCTTAGGTGCTGTCAGCTCTGACCCATGCCGACCCCGTGCGCAACAGCGGCCAGCATTGCCCAGTCCTACACCCTCCTCATGCTGTTACTCTTGAGCCCAATACTGCTGCCACTGTGTCAGTCTGTGTCCTTGGGATTTCCCTCTTTATTGCTGACCCTCCACTTTACCAAGCATGGTGTCCTTCTCCAGGGACTGGTCCCTCCTGATACCATGTCCAAAGTATGAGAGACCAAGTCTGGCCATCGTGACTTCTAAGGAGCATTCTGGCTGTACTTCTTCCAATGCAGATTTATTTGTTCTTCTGACATTCCATGGTACTTTTAATACACACCTCCAATACCATAACTCAAATGCATCAATTCCTCT